CACAAAATCTATCTCCAGGCTTAATGTTTTCCTGAATAGATTTATTTCTTGATTTAAACCATGCATATTTTATTTATTTTTCATGTTTAACAATGAAAAATGAGTTTCATTCGGTGATAGTAAAATATGATAATTTTCCCAGATTATCTTCCTACATTCCATACTTACTTCAAAGTTGTCAACTTTAACTACAATGCTACAAGTAAACTTCTGGTTCTTTTTGAATCCATGTCTTTTACTCGAGGATCCATGGACAGAGCTGCTACTCTCTGGAGTGCTGGAGTTAACTTCCCAAGCTCCACCAGCCGCATCCAACACAACCTGCAGAGGTTGAGTTTCCGAAACTAAATATGCTTCTGAGGCTTCGTCGAAATCTATGGCCACGTCTGGATCAAGTGCCAGGTAGTCAGAAATGAAGTTAAGCTCGAAACTAGAAAAAGAAGATTTATAGTTTTCTTAGAGCCAATAGGTGTAATTAATGTTTTAAAGTTCAAAGTTTAAAATGGCAACTAATTAAATATGCTCGTCAAGCAAGCTTTCTTATTTATCCGTTTTCTAGTTAGTTATCTCATGAATTGGGCCATAAACTCATACGTTTTCCGAATTTGGGGGCGCATGCTTGCACTTACTTCGTATTCTGCTGAATATTATTAAAACCAAGATTTAGCCGCAGTGAGGAAAAGTCTAGACCGTTTCCTAATCGTACTTTAATTCTACACACATATATAAATAAGCATAAATAGATGAGGAAAACTCTCTTATAGGCCCAGAACTAAACAATACCCTTTCATAAGAATTCAAAATTTTAAATAGATTAAGAATTCCTTCATTATTTGTGTTTAATCAATAGTCCTAGAGTGAACTTATCTTCAAAATGTCTGTATCTTAAAAGATCCTAAGTTTGAACACTTGAGCCTCTCCCTGCTTAAATACTAAAATATTGGAGTAAATTCTGCAAATTAACATGTTACTGCATCTTCAGAATACCTAACGACCAGTTGTCGTTTTTTAAGAAAATACGTAAAGAAATA